CAGAGTTTTCACCTGTATGAATGTCATTTGAAAGTCACGCAGGACACGAGGCAGAGATGTGTGGCATGGAGTCATCCCAGATATGAGTTTACATCTGTCCCTGGCTCTAGTCTATTAAATACCTCCCCCCTCCTCCCTAATCCATGTGGCCAGAAAGGCCTGCCCACAGATTCCATGCTGTCCCTGGGGCATTGCTGCCCTGTTGAGAACTGCTGTGGTGGGGAGCCCTGGCAGGCTGTAAGCTGGGAGCAGCAAGCTCCGGTCTGCAGTTTAGGAAGCTCTCCCTGGGAGGGGCTGAGGCTGGAGGCAGGGAGACTCGAATGGAGGCTGAGTATTAGGCCTGAGAAAGAGATCATTAGGGGCTCAAATAGGGCATGTCCGCGGGGAGAGAGTGGAGCAGGGGACTAAGGGTGTTAAGGATGTAGGGACTCTGAGGTGGAGTAACTGCTAGACTGGCAGGTGCCCTTACCATCTCCTTCCCTGAGAATGGAGGGAACGATGGGTAGGGGGACTTCCCAGGCAGCTCTCCCTTCATTCTCTCCCAGTCCTTTGGCTGACTTCCTTCTCTCAATTTGAAAAATTTCTGGTGTCCAGCCGCTGGTCCCCCTATTCCTAGCATTACTGATTACTGTCACGGATCTTTAATAAAGAGCAGTGTCTTTCTTCTCTCCCTCTATTCCCTCACTGCCCCTATCGCCTCACCTGCTTCCCTCTGGCTTCTGCTCACACCACTGCATGGAAACTGCTCTCTCCAGAGTGACCTGCAGCCACCTCAGCACCACACCTGTGGCTTCTCACAAACGGTATGCGTCAGAATCACCTGGAGGGCTAATGCAACCGCACGTCGCTGGGCCCCACCCACAGTGTTTGTGATTCAGTGGTCCCAACAAATCCCCAGGTGATGCTGGCTGGTGCTGCAAGTCCACGGGTCACACCCTGAGAGCCACAGGTGGTCGGATCTGATACATGCTCCAGGCGCCTCGCAGTCCGGCCAAAGCTTACCTTTCTAATTTCATCTCCCACATCTGACCACTTGCTCTTCTTCCCTGAATACGATGCACAGAGAAGTTCTCACCTGGGCTCCCCTGTCTCCGGGGTGCCCTTTCACTCTCCTCCTGTGCCTGGAGAACACCTCCTCACTTGTTTTTCAGGGCCTAGCTCAGATATCTCATACTTTTTGACACGTTCCCTCCCTCCTGTCACAATCAGAATTAAATGCCTTTCCTTAATGTTCCCATATCTCCAGTAAAAGATTAATCACATATTTATTCAATTATCCATTTATTAATTTGTTTAGCAAATAATTGGGTCATAGTCTCTGCCCTTCAGATGCTTCTAATTTAGTAGGAAAGATAAGACCTTTAAAAAATTAACTTCAATGTAAGGCAGCATGTAGGGGCTCATCAGGGTTAGGGAATCTTTTATGGGTAGAAGAAATGAGTTTTGAGTGAGCAGCGCACACACAAAGGGGAGTCCGCAGGATGGGGAGGTTGGCTGAGGACCCTCCTGATGTCTCTCACCTTCCTACCACCCTGTCCCTGCTGTAACACAACTGCCCCCCCATAATGCAAAACACACGATTCTTCACGATTTGATCAGAGGCCTAAGAAGGAAACTCTCCAGATGCTGAAAGAAAGGGCCCTTTCCTCAAATGGTACGGCCAGGCTCTGGGGGTCATGAGGTGCCTGAGAAGGCAGATGCTGGTGTGAGCTGGAGTCTGTGCTCGCTGCTGGGGCCTCACCCGCAGCCTCTCAGACCCTTTTCCGGCCTCATCCTCCTGCTGATTCATTGTTGGGGATTAACCAAGCCTCGGTCATCAGCATCTTTTCTTTCACCTCTGCGTTTATTGCCTCTCTGAGTCCATTCACTCACACAGCCAAGTCCAAGGATTCTCAGGCTTTATTTAAGGTGCATCTGAATCACCTGGGGATCTTGTTAAAGGCAGATTCTGACTCCAGAGGTCTGGGGTAGGGCCTGAGAGTCTGCATTTCTAACAAGCTCCCAGGTGACTCGGATGCTGCTAGTCCAGGGACAGCGCTTTCAGCAGCCTTTGCCTCTTATGTCTGACAGTTCTCTGATGTTGAGCTTTGACCGTGGGACTGAGCCTAGAAACCAAAAAGAAATGGGAATAGTGAAAATGTATTGCGTGTTTATTATATACCAGGCTTTGTGCTAAACTCTTCCTATGCACTGTTGCTTTTAATCTGCACAACACTCTGATGAGGTAGGTACTATGATTGTTTTCATCTTGCAGATGAAAATATAGACAGTCCTTAAGGGGGCTGGGCTCTCCTAACTCTGTGGAGGAAGGTGATGCGGGCAGGCCCTGCACCTCCTGGGACACTGCTGGGAAGGATGCATGAGTGCTTCCTAATGAGTCCTGGAAGCTGCAGTCTCCCCTGGGCTTCAGGAGGGTCCTCTCTGCCCTTGAAATGTGGGAGGAAATTCAGAGTGTAGACCAGGAGCTGACCCCTCGCCCACCTGTCAGACAGGCACCAGATTTTAAAAATGCCTCTCTTTCAAGCTTTTCAACACTTCACAATATTTTGACATGGGAAGGGAAAAAATGGAAATGCTTTGAAACATTTCTCCTCCTTGGATTCTTGTTCTCAGACCATGTAACTGAATTGAAGTTTAGTCATAGGACTCCAGTTTAACATATGCAGTTACTATAGCAATTGAGGTTTCCTTAGTAACAGTTGCAAAAATAATCTGGCCCCAATTAATAATACATTTTAAAGCTGTTTCTGCTCTACACTGAACATCCCAGTTGTTTTGGCCAAGTCCCAGAGAATTCAGGTGGTGTTATTTGCACCGATATAGATATCATTTGCATGCGGTGAATTGGGTTGGAAAGGAAGAAAAGGGAGCTGGTTGTTTCAAGTACTATAGGAATCCCATCTGAAAAGTCGACTGGCAGGCTAATGGGAATCTAGTTTCCCGAGTTTGGCAGCTTACTGGTAAACCCTGCCCTGGACCAGTGTGCCCTGGGGGACTCTGTGCTTTTGAAGAAGCGAGAAGGCAGGAGACTGGGCTTGTTCACAAAAAAGACGGGGCGTGGGACCTGTGGTTTCTCTCAAACCGGTGCTTGGTGTGTTCTTGATGGCTTGAGAAGGTCTGTAGTATGTGAATTCAGTCGTCCTTTGTGAAGAGCGTCACCTGATTTACCACCGGAGACATGTCCTCAGAGTTGCGTGTGCAGTAATGGCGTTGGGTATCGGATCTTGCCATTCCTTAGCTCGCTGTATCCTCTCAGCCATTCAGAACTTTGGTCTGTGTGGTTCCAGGCGCCCAAGTGACAGTCGGGGGCTTTCAGAAGTTTCAATTGCATTGGCACGTGGGACTCAGACCTTGATGCTGTCTTGCCACACCAAGCTCTGAGTGAGCCAGCTGGCCGGCACTGGCAGAGGAGTGGGCTCGACCAGGGGGCTCAGTCCTGTGTCTGGATCAAGAGGCTGACCAGCAGGGGTGCAGGCTTTGGGCCCAGGCAAACCTGCCCGGCCTCCCCTCTAGGCAGGCCCGTTGCCGGAAGCCTGGCTCACCTTCCCTGCCTGGGTCTCTGCCTTGCCCTGGGTTTCTGTCTCAGCTGGTGAGTAACTTGGTCCCTGAGAAGCAAAGTGTGAAGAGAGGGGTGGAGGTGGGATGATGCTTTCACTGTGAGCTCCCTAAGAGGAGCTTAGAATTGTGTCTTTTTCCTTTTTTCCTTTTCAGTAGAGGGCGGGCAAGGGGTAGGGGAAAGCAGAGCCAAGTGTAATCGTGATGGAGTGGGTGAGATCTCCCATTGCCTTCATAGGATATATTTCATTAGACCTTGGCTTCTTGCCTCCTTAAAGGTGCGTGTAGTCATTAATTAGCAGGTAGGGTGGCACTCTGGAGTCTGCCCTTCCTTCTGGGTTTGGAGCAGGATAGTGAAGGGAAGGGGACACTGGAGTTGGCTGTGTTCTGTCCTGTTGCTTGTCATTTTCTTCTCAGCCTTCTCTCTCTCTCTCCCCTCAGGAAGATCACCCCGGCATCCTCTAATTACCTGCTACTGTCTTTCTCCAGCACATTCGCACTCGCTCACCCACTTACATATCTCAGCAAACATTGATCAGATGCTTTCGGAAGCCCAGGCACTGTGCCAGGCTCTGGGGGTGCAGTGATAAGAACATCTATGAGGCAGAACTGTCTTATTCTTCAGGGCATCCTCAGCACTTACCATCATGAGGGGCACAGAGTGGGCACACTATCTAAATATTTTCAGATTGAATGGAAAAAAGCTTGATCTCTACCCTGGGGGAGCTCACAGGCTAGGGAGAAAGAGAGATGTAAGGAAAAACAGCCGGATGTGTAGAGAGGCTGCTGATGAAAGCACAGAGGAGGGGTGTCTAGTCCAGTGGGATGGGAATGAGGGGTAGGGGGACTAAGGATGATTAGAGAGAAGGGTCGGAGGGGAGATGGTGGAAGGAAATAGGCAGAGAGGATGCTGAGCAGAGACCAAAGGGCAGGGAGAAACTGCATGGGCGGGTGTGGGTGTAGGAGGGTGAGGCCTCAGGGGTGAGTCGTGTGAGGCCTCAGGGGTGAGTCGTGGAGACGAGTGAGGACAGCTGGGTGAGGGCGAGACCCCGGAGGGCCTTTGTCCTGGGAAAAGGAACTTTTTTTCCTTTATAACCTATAAGCATTTGGGAGCCATTAAGCTTTGTAAGCAGGGAAATGATATGAGCAGATTTGTGTTTTAGCTGAATCCCCCTGGGGGCCATGTGCCGGCGAGGAGAGCTAGTGGGAGACTGGGAGAGAATGGGAGGGCCTAAGCTGGGGGCGAGGCAGGGAGGAGACAGATGGAGGGGTGCTTGTGGTGAAATTGGCTCCGTGCTGTTTTCCTCACACCAAGCCATGCTTTGGAGGAAGCCCATCGGCGTCCAGTCCTCTAGGAAGTGTGCTGGACAAAGGTGAGATTTGGGACGGGCCCATTTCCGGGAGGGTATGGTGATTCTGCTGAACTGCTCCCTTTCCCTCTGCAGTGACAAAGCTGCAGGTGAGCAAATCGAAGAGGACCCTCACCCTGGTGGAGAACAGGCCCATCCAGCTGAACTGCTCGGTCAAGTCGCAGACCAGCCAGAACTCCCACTTTGCCGTGCTCTGGTACGTCCACAAGCCCTCTGACGCCGACGGCAAGCTCATCCTCAAGACCACCCACAACTCGGCCTTCGAGTATGGCACCTACGCCGAGGAGGAGGGCCTGCGAGCCAGGCTCCAGTTTGAGAGGCACGTGTCGGGGGGCCTGTTCAGCCTCACCGTCCAGAGAGCCGAGGTCAGCGACAGTGGCAGCTACTACTGCCATGTGGAGGAGTGGCTGCTGAGCCCCAACTATGCCTGGTACAAGCTGGCAGAGGAGGTCTCGGGGCGCACAGAAGTCACTGTAAAGCAGCCAGGTAAGGAGAGAGGGCACAGCCATCCTGGGCCAGTGGGTTTAGTGTCGAGAGACTGCCTGGGGGTCAGGCCTCTGCGGGGCCCACGTGGGGCATGCATGGAGGTACATGGACCATCATCCTGGGGCACGGCGGGCCCGCCCTGCTGACTTGGAGTGGGTCCTGGTGCTGATGGCAAACTCGGAAATGCATCATTGACTCTGCTATTATGAACAGTGTCTTCACCAGGGAGACGTCTGAAAGGCAGCTGTGGTTAGCAGGATGTGGCAAGGCAGGGTCCCCGGCGGCTCCTGCATCTCTTTCTGGGTTTGCAGTTTGCACCCTGGATCTCGGGTGGGTGCCAGCTCCCTACCCAGGAGTCCTGCCTAGTAAGGCCTTTTCTGGTTCCCCTCATCCGCTTCCCCGCTCTTCCTCACCACCCTTCGCAGCCCAGGGATGAGCCCTCTCTCCACACCGAATCTCCCCGCAGCCCCCTCTCGGACCCTGAGGGTGCAGCCTTATTCTGCCCCAGACAGATGGTGTGTGACCTCCGCTGGGGGAGAGCTGCTCCCTCCACAGCCGTCAGTTCCACTTTTGGGCAGCCCTGCTCGTTGAAAAGTGCCTCTCCCTGTCATTTCCCTTTCAGGTTTGAGGTCTGCCCCTAGAACAACCCAAGATAAGTTTGGGTCATTTCCTTTCAAATATGTGAAGGGAGCTCTCATGTGCCCCTGTCGGTCTCCCCTTCTTGTTAAAGGGCTGTAGTTCCTTGAACTTCTCACATAATGTGCCCTTAAGCTCCCACTCCATCCCTCATTCTGCGTGCCCTACAGTTTGTTGTCACTGTCTGTCCTTCCTGACGGGGGCCGTGGGTGCTTTATTGCCACCCCAAGTCCCATCTCCATGCCTCTGCTTGTGCTGCCCGCTCCACCTGGAATGCACCTCTCCTGCTGCTTCTCCCCTGTCTTCACCCCATCCCCAAAGCTTCACTCAGCACCACGTCCAGGAAGCCTTCCCTGATTTCTCCCATATCACCAGGGGTTCCTTAAAAACACCTAGTGTAATAATTGTTTGTTTGCATTTCTTCTCCACTATCCTGTACGCACTTTGAGGACAGGGCTGTGTCTTTGTATCTTCAGCCAGTGGCGTGGCACCCTTAATACATAGTGGTTGAATAAGGAATTCAACCACTAGGAATAAGGAATGTTGAATAAAGAATGAATGGCTGCTTTCCTTGAACACCTCAGGGGCTTTGTACTTGCTGTTCTCTTAGCCTGGAACATGTTGACCAGAGGTGTTTATTTATCTTGTTCTTCCTCAGAGAGGCGTTCCTGGCTCATTTTAGCTAAAAAAGCACGCTAGTCCCTCTGCATCCCTTTTCCCCATTCCCTTCATAGCACATATCACCACCTGGCATCCTGTTTATTTACCTGTTAATATAGAAGTAATTATGAACTACTTATTCATATTGATATGTATGGAAATTCAGTTATTATTTATTACTTATTCATTATTTCTGTATTCAAATGTATATATATTTGTTGTCTGTCTCTTCCCCTGGACTAGAAGCTCTCTGAGTGAGCACAGGACTTGGTTTTCTTCACTGTTCTCTTCCCATGGCTTGTCTCCCAGGAGGCCTCTGTAGACGTTTGTTCAGTAAGCAGATGGAGCCAGACACAGAGGTCCACATGCGGCCTGGCTCGTCCTGAAGGCCGTGGGACTGTCCCCTCGTTTCCCTCAGGATATTGTATTTCTAAAACTGCCCCAGTCCAGGGAATCTCATCGGCCTCACAGTGACCTTTTATGTCAGCCCTTCTGGTGGTCTGGTCTGCATGGTTCCTGTTGGAATTTCCAGTGACCTGTGTCCTGCCTCAGGCCAGTCCCTGGGGCTTTTGACAACTGGAGGTTGTCGTTCAGCCCACAGATGTTCTTTGGGGTTTCTGTTCTTCCTGTCTGTTTTCAGTTCTGAACACTCCCTCTCCTGGGAGAACATGCCCACCCTCCCGTGCTGAGGGCTTCCTCTTCGTCGTCATCCAGCCTTTCTCTTCTCTCGTTTGTGCCGAAACCAAGAAATTCTTGGTGGAGCCTAAATTTATCAAGGGAATTTCCCCCTCTGAGACTGCAGACTCACATTAAGCTAATTGGGGCAGTGCAAAAGGGCTGTAAGGATGCTTGTCAAAACACATTCGGTGAACTCTCTATTTATGGGGACTATTAGCACTGTGAACAGAACACTCACAGGACACTGATGAAAACAGCCCTTTCCCTCTTTTCAGTTGAGATTTTTGGTTTGTATGTTTTTTCTTGCTCCCTGCTTCTAGCCTACTTCTAGTTCTCCTCCCCTCTAACTTGTTTTCCGATGAGAAAGTATACACTTATGGAGCTTTTGGAAAGTACAAAAAAAGCACAAAGAAGAAGATAGTATTTCAGCCCAGAGACAACCAGAGTTAACATCTTCATTATATATATATATATATATATATATATATATATTTTGAGGAGGCTGATTGTTTAAAATATATATTCTGTTATTTTTAATTTTTGGACCTTTTAATTACAAGCATGATCATGTGCGTCATAAAGCATTCTGACAGTTTTGAAGTGTAAACGTAGAAAGTGAAGTGAAAGTGGCAAGCCTCCCCCTTAGATATCCCTCAGGAGGTGCCCTTCCCGAGGTGTAAATGGCCCCGTGCATTTCCAGTGTTGTAGCTTTTCCACCCCTCTGGTCCATATTGGCTTGTTGGGGCCTTTGATGGAGTTAGGTCCCTGCCGTCAGGACACAGCATCGTTGATGACACTTCCTCTGGAGGAGCATCTGACTGGCTGAGGTTTCTAACCATCAGTTCCATCACTGTCCATCCTTTCTTTACTTATGTTGGATCAGTGTGGTTCCCACCCTGAGTGGGAACCTGTGTGGGGTTTTTGTAGGGGAAAGTAAGAACTGTGATTCTTAGGGCCAACTCGTGAACATATTAAACTAGGTTTCCTCTGCAGCTCTTTTCTGGTTGACAGCCCAGCGTATTCCAGCTGTCACGAGGTCAGTTTTAAAAATTTGCTGATGCTTCAAGAGGAGTTGTCCCCATGACCTTTCCTGTCCCTTCCCAGCCACCCCTCCAGTCAGCCATATGCGTCGTGGTCGGCTGTCGTTCGGGTGTGCAGGCATCTACAGCTCGTGCTTTTCCTCTCTTAAGCATCTGTACTGATGGGGGTCATAAACTGGGGGATGTAGAGCTGTTACTATAACGCTGAACTCCTCGAAACTCAGGCACTCGGACACACGATCCAGGCGCTCAGCATGTGTGGGTGCCATGCCTGAGAAATGTTTCTGCTGCTGGAGTGTGCTGCTGTCCTCCTGTATTTGGAAGACGCCCACTCCCCTATGCCTGGAAAAGGGTGCAGGCCAAGTTGCTTGTTTTCCTGCTGCTGACATCTCGTTCCTCGCCTTTCCAGACAGCCGCCTGAAGCTCAGCCAAGCGCAGGGGAACCTGTCGGTCCTGGAGACGCGGCAGGTGCAGCTGGAGTGTGTGGTCCTGAACCGCACCAGTGCGGCCTCCCAGCTTGTGGTGGAGTGGTTTGTGTGGAAGCCCAACCACCCGGAGCGGGAGACCGTGGCCCGCCTGAGCCGGGAGGCTACCTTCCACTACGGAGAGCAGGCAGCCAGAAACAACCTGAAGGGGCGGCTGCATGTGGAGAGCCCGTCCTCCGGCGTGTACCGGCTCTTCATCCAGAATGTGGCCGTGCAGGACAGCGGCACCTACAGCTGCCGTGTGGAGGAGTGGCTGCCCAGCCCCAGCGGCCTGTGGTATAAGCGGGCGGAGGACACTGCTGGGCAGACGGCTGTTACAGTCATGCGACCAGGTGAGGGTTAATGTCCCCAGGCCTCCACGCCCTTCAGTGCTTCCCCCATGAGTGTAATAGTCCATGCACTGCATAAAATTAATTTGCTAATTAATAAATTGTTTGCAGTTAAATATATGAGCATTTACATTTCGCATTTGCATTTGAAATTGTCTCCAATTTTTTTTTCTAATGAATGGAAGATTGCACATCTGGTTTTGGCCTAAGGTGATTCTGTGTCTTAACTAGAATGCCATTTGTCAATTAATTATTCTAGAGCATAGACTATTTTCTTTTTAAAGAATACATTCAGATTTGGACAAATGGTGGTTATGCAAAAATCTTGAAACAGTAGCGATGTTGTTCAAATAATTAAGCTTGTAGATTTTCAGTGGAAAATAATTGATTCACATGCTTTAAATAGAAAAAGATGAAGTATCTGCAGCCTTCACTCTCTCACTTCCTACCGATTTTATTGGTACTAATGACTATTCTATGGGGCCTTTTGCTTTGCTTGTCTTTCTTGTTTCTAAAGTACCTAAATGCATTTAATTCCTGGGTATAATTATTGTTACACATTTAAACACATAATTAAAGCTAAGATGTGCAGGATTCCTGTGTCCTTTACAACATCGCATCATCATTCATCTATGTTGGAGTGAAAAGTCAGTGGTCCCCCTAAGGACGTGGAGCAGAAATGAACTTATGACTCATGTCAATGTGAACGCTCTGTCTTGTTTGCTCCCTGAGCATCCCGAGGTTCCTATTCGTGGTTGTTGGTACTGTTGGGAGCTTTCATAATGTTTTCACATCTAAGTAGAGCAGCTATTTTCGTTGGTGGAACACTGGAGCTTCACAGTTGTGCCAGCCCCGCAGGTCAGAGTACACACTTCCGAGAGTGCGTACACCCCTTGTCGCAGGAAAGGGCATTATCTCACTCCCCTGTGTTTTTGCCAAAGCTGGAGGGGAAATCACCTCTACTTTGAGTTACTCATATTTCCCATGAGCTTTTTCTTTCTTGTTTTTACTTTGCCTAAAAACTGCTGCTTATCTATTCCCAAAGGTAAAACTTTAGAGATACGGCAGCTGAACACCCTCTTCCTCCACCGCCTCCCACCCGTTTCGCAGATCACCACACTGAGGCCCTCGGGTGGAGTGAGAGGAGACGGACATTTACAGGGTGCCAGCTGCATCCCAGCCACAGTTAGGCGATTTCTGTCTGGTGCTCACAACAACCCCAAAGGGTAGTTTTACTAATGAGCAAATGAAGCCTGAAGAGAAATGTCACATGCTAGTAAGAGCAGACCGGAGCAGTGACTCAGGTTCCCCTCCTGCCACACTCTGTGCTCCCAGCGTGGCCCGTAAACCTGTAACCCCAAGTCTGTCTCATATTTCAGCCAAATGAGTGGCCTGAATTGATCTTCATCCCTCCCTCCCTCCCTCTCTTCCCTGATGATATAAGCTGATCATGCCAATAACAAAACATTTGGGAAACAGGAAAGTATAGTTTTGAAAAGAAAAGTTGTCCATAATTTCACTACCTACATATCTTCATATTCCCTCTGATCTCACTGTTTTATGCAGATGTAGTCAAAGCTTTTTTTCTGAGGTATAAGTTGAACATATAGAAGAGTTGAAATACTATAAGAGTTATGTTGAGAGAATAATCCCCTTGCATTGCTTAGGGTCAACCATAATATGAAGTATATGAGATGAGGGCTTCCCTCAGTGAGAGTGTAGCTGAGGTGATGAGTAGTTGTGTTTGGCTCACACAGCTGGGGAGGAGAGAAAACCACACTCATCACACACAGACCAGACAGGAGTCTGGTCCAGGTAACATCTGTGGGAGCAGACAGCATCATGTAGAGGGAGGGGCAGAGATGAGCTTCTTTCTTGTGGCTTACACATGGAAAAGGAAAGTGTGTTATAGTCTGAACAGGGAGATGGTTTGGCCTCTTCTAGAAGGGGGCAGACGTGAGGAACCAAATTGGTAGAGGAGGGGGGTTGTGAGAAGGTAGAAATTAACTTCATTCAAAAAACTTGTACTGAGTTGTTAATACAGACAAGGCACTTGAAGGGGCCAGGAAAAGTTTTAAGCGGTTAGAAGAGAAGAAAGCAAAGGGAGAGTAGATGAGGAAGAGGCCCTCCTGGGGGGATTAAATGTCCTGTGGTCTCTGACCACCTTGCCATGATGGGTTCATTGCATCACATGACCCAGGGCCACCTCCTTTGACACATTGGCCACTAGGAGCTTTAGGGACACACACTCTGGAAGGCAAAAAAGCATCTAGACCGCCACTTGGCCTGCAGCCTTTCTCTCTAACAGCCTTGGGGTTACACGTCAGCCGTGCTCTCTGGAAGGATAAGCTGGTGAGTGAGGGAGTTTGAATCCCCTAAACTGATTTCGTCTTCTCCATCCTGCTGCTTTCTGCCCTCCAGCATATTCTCCCCCCATGAGAGCTGGGCTGATGCACCGTGCCCACCACCTGTAGCCGGCTCCTGAGCCTCTGTGTGCCAGTGGTGCACACTGAGATTCCAGATGGGCCAGGGGGCATGTGGAGGGGCTTGGCAGAGTCCCACAAAGTGGTAGGAACCCAAGCTTTGTGCTCACCTGTGGGTGACATTAAGCCAATTCATTGAAAGCCCAGGATAATACTTGGGAAATGCTCCTAATTGGTCTTCAGCCAAGTAGAATCCAATTTAGTATCTCTACTTTTGTTGATGTTACGTTGGCATCTTTCATGAGCATTTCATAAACAGAGCCAAAGGAAGGCCTTTTAGGAGCAAGGGAGTGGATTATTTGTTTAGAATCTACCCCGTGAGCCAAAAAAAAAAAGGGCAATAAAATAAAGAAACGGATTATAGCCTGTCTCTGGTGTCTGTGAGATGTGACTCACCGGCTCGGGTAGCTCTCCATGGCTGTTCTGTGTCTCCCGCCTCAGTTGGGAGGACACTGTCCGTGTCATCCTCCTGGGAGGTCCATGCTCAGGGCGAGGGGGCCTTTTAGGTCTGTTGTCTGTTTGTTTGGCTTCAGTCTGTGGAGAATAGTTACCTCCTTGGGTTCACTAAGGCATGGGCAGCAATCTCCATGCACACAGTTTCAATTCAAAAGCTGCTGAGGGGTGAATTAGTTTCGCAGAGCTGCCATAACAAATTAGCACAAACTTGGTAGCTTAAAACAAGAGAAATTTATTCTCGCACAGTTCTGGAGGCTCAGAGTCTGAAATCAAGGTGCAGCAGGGCCATACTCCCGCTGAAGTCTAGGGAAGAAGCCTTTCTTGCCTCTTCCAGCTTCTTGTGGCCCCAGGTGTTCCCTGGCCTCCTTGGTCTGTAGCTGCATTACTGCAGCCTCTGCCTCCATCTTCACACGTGCCTCTCTCAGCGTATCCTCTACTTATAAGGACACCTGTCATTGGATTTAGGGCTTACCCTAAATCCAGTATAAGCTCATTTTAACTAATTACATCTTCAATGACCCTATTGCCAATTAAGGTCACATTCCGAGGTTCCAGGTGGACATGAATTTTGAGGGGACACTATTCAACCACTACAAGGGGTTACAGTGGAAATGTGTCCCTCCCTCCCAGATTCCCATAAGCACCACGTTACCAGCTTCTTGTGAATTCTTCCACAAATATTCCATGCAATATGAGCAGATATGTATGTCAGAACAAAACATTTTCTTCTGCATACAACAATACGTAGATTACGCAGCATTCTGTCCTCTCACAGTTTTTCTGAGTCTCTTCCCACATCTCTGCACATAGCACCACCTCATTCCTCTCAGTAAGTGCATAGTATTCTATTGTATGGATATTACTATAATGTATTTAGTGATGCACATTTAGGTTGTTTGGAGCAAAGAAATTAAAACAGCCTCTTCTCCCTTCTTTGTCTCTTATTGCCCCCAGATGCCGCCCTGCAGGTGGACACGGTGGTCCCCAATGCCACAGTGTCCGAGAAGGCAGCTTTCCAGCTGGACTGTAGCATCGTGTCTCGCTCCAGCCAGGACTCCCGCTTTGCCGTGTCCTGGTATTCTCTGAGGACTAAAGCTGGTGGGAAAAGGGGCAGCCCTGACCTGGATGAACAAGAGGAAGAGGAGGGGGAGGAGGGGGAGGAGGAGGACCTGATGGAGCGGACGGCCCTGCTGAGCGTGGGCCTGGATGCTGTCTTTGGCCCAGAGGGCGGCCCCTGGGAGGGCAGGCTTCGCTTCCAGAGGCTCTCCCCCTTGCTCTACCGTCTCACAGTGCTGCAGGCAAGCCCCCGAGACACGGGTAACTACTCCTGCCGTGTGGAGGAGTGGCTGCCCAGCCCTCAGAAGGAATGGTACCGGCTGACAGAGGAGGAGTCGGCCCCCATCGGCATCCATGTTCTGGACGCAAGTGAGTTTTCCCAATTTACAGAGGAAGGATGTCGCTTTTGATTCCAATTGTGTCTGGAGGATAAATTCAGAACTTGATTATGGGTTAATAAGCAGTTGTCTTACCTGTCATGGGCATTTAGGATTTGACATACCACTTTATATAATTGACCCTTGATTGCCCACGCTAAAAATAGGGATAGGAGTTAAAGTGATAATATACTATCTAATCTTTATAATAAACTGGATGCTCCATCAGACTCTATTTTAGTAAGATTTCGTTATACAAGTATATCATTAGTGTTACTTTGTTGCTCTTTAGAATATCCAACCCTGTCTCTCTTTAGCGAATTAGCAAGTGTTTCAGACTCATAGGAGAAAGAAGAAAAGCGAAGCCGGAATACCTAGCTGTCAGTCTTTCTTTTTCTCAAATTCCTGGGTCGTTTTTATTTTGGAGGGTGACTGGGAGGTTTGGGTGGATTTTGCATGGTTAGTTGGGAGACCAGCCTAGAAGGGCAGTGATGTTACAGGGCATCTGGGAAGACCTTTGTAGCATCCAGCTGTTGCTGTAGATGGTCCAGAACTCAGAGTTTTCATCATTCTGAGAGACTCTGTGAACAGAGACTGGAGGAAATACTTGCTGACCTGAATTATTTGTTCTAACAGGGCACTCTGGGTTAGCCCTCTGTCAAAATGGGGAATATATCAGACTGAAAATGGTGTTTTCAGTTTGTTATAGTAGAATTAGCCTATAATGCAGAAATTAAAAATTTTCTAGAAATTTCAACTTCTTTTCAGTCAAAACACTTTACCAGATAATTTTGACTTGAGTTTTTGAGTTGTGTCACAGGCTTTTTCTTTTCTTCAGTTACCTCCTGTTTACGTTGTGTTAGATCGAACCATATGAAATGGAGGTTTTGTAGGTCAAAAGTAGTTGCCTGTCAGCAATTTCATATCCTTTGGAAATCTAAAGAGTGTAAATGTATGTTAAATTTTCTCAATAATACTGATGAGCAACAGCTATGCAGTAGAAAGGAAAGCAGAAAAAAGCCTAAATTGTACTCAGACCCCCTAACGCTCTACTGAATAATCCACTGTCCAAAAGTACCAGGGAAGGCATTTAGGCCACATTTTATCTGCCCACTCTGGATGTCCATATTTATTAAGGTTCGTAGAACAGAGAGAGCATCCAGCAGCCTTATTCTGCAGAGAAGATGCAGACGCCAGAGGCTGAGCTCCTGCCAAGGTCTCGTAAGTCATAGAGCAGTTCTCAGCTGGGTCTGGGACGCTGGGTTTCATTCTCCATATCCAGGCATAACTAACACTGTTCTGTGCAGCCACAGATGCTGTGGACATTTGTAAATGGTCCATAATGACATTTTAGTTGATAATGTTAATCAAGTAAGCATCATTTCTGGTAAAATTGCTCTCAGAAGCTGGTGGGGAGGGAGCGTGTTATATCCCAAAGAGGGACGTTTGGAGTAGAACTAAGTGCAAAGGGTTGTGTAAAATAGAGCCATGCAGGAGGTTCAGGCTGAGCTGGAGTCAGCTTCTTTACCATCCTAGAAGCAGTTGAGTTCACCATCAATACACTACATTTTATTCTATGGCTTTCCGAGCAAGTAATACTGGCTCACAGTGGGAAATGGAAGCGTTGCTTTGTTTGAACTTACAGCTGTGATTTGGAAGAGGTGCTGTTGTGAGAAGAAGACAAGGGCAGTCTCCCCACCACGAGTGGAGAGACAGGGTGGGTGTGGGAGTTCCACCAAGTCGCTTCCATTGGGTTGGGCGAGGTCTTGAGGAACGAGTCCACAGTCCAGGTTCTCAGCACTCATTGTCTTGTCTCCCTCGCGGTCCTTTTCAGGTTCCACCCTGCAGTCCATCATCTGCTCCAACGACGCCCTCTTCTACTTTGTCTTCTTCTACCCCTTTCCCATCTTCGGCATCCTTATCATCACCATCCTGCTGGTGCGCTTCAAGAGCCGGAACTCCAGCAAGAACTCCGACGGGAAGAATGGGGTGCCCCTGTTATGGATCAAAGAACCACACCTCAACTACTCCCCCACTTGCCTGGAGCCCCCTGTGCTCAGTATCCACCCAGGAGCCATAGACTAAGGGGGTCCCTGGTGGACGTCGGCCACAGAGGAGCGGACGAGCTCCCTCGCTGCCTCTGTCTGCAGTCAGACAGCAGATAGCACCCACACTCAGGAGTGCTCGTGCAGAGAATTGTCAGACTTGACAAGTGTTCCAAGTCCCCGTGAGTCACAGAGAGAGACTGCCTCTAGGTGGCCGTCTTGGTCGGTTAGCTGTTTTTGAGCAGAGGTCGTCATCCTGCGGAATTAGGTTTGTTTTTGTTTCTGGTAACGTAGTGAGTAGCTCAAGGTGCCACATCTACTCACTGACTTATGTAGTATTCTCAGATAGATGTTACAGGGGCTCTTATTCTTTGTAATGGACTCTTTTTAAATCCCTCTGGTTTACCCTTTTTGGATTCTGTAATGTTGTGGACGATTTGCTCTTACATACAACTGATGGCAAAAGGAAGGACGAACTTGATAGTGCAAAGGAATCTCTTCCAAGACTTTTTGTTTCTGCACACTTGAAAATGCCACCCGTGGATCAAAATACACCCAAACATTTTTTACTTTCTCAACGATACTTGAAGATTATGTGTCATGTGGGCCAATTTGTATCTTATCTTCTTCCTCAGCTGGAGTTCTTGGAAACACTTGTAGTCAAGATGAAGGCATTGAATTTTGCTTCAAAGAACTACGTATGTACAAGAGAAATCCTGCAGAACCCCACTAGGAGTAGATGGTGCCAGGCCAGCCTGTCTGTCAGGGAGGCAAAAAAAGGCTTCCTCCGAACCTTGCCGAAAAACAAGAAAACTTTCTTGGAGAACAAGTCAGAAGCTCCACACAGCACACACTTTCCAAGTGAAAGTAGGCAGAGGCTGCTTTTAGCAGCTACCGACTTTAGGATCCATCAAAGCCAACGATTAGTGAAGGAAGAAAAAAGGCTGGTTGTCGGCTTGATCTGTTCTGCAGGGCAGCCCCAACTGGGAGCTGCCAGCTGGTGGCTTCTATTTTAAGGTGCTTTGCCAAACTCGTAAGGGAAAGTGGCCAGTGAGCCCGGAAGGGGGACAGGTCTGAGCTGAAGACACGGGGCCCAAGCAGCCACCATATACATGGACAGAGGGCACCAGGGCTGGCTGACAGCTGAGTTTCTTGAAGAGGGGGCCAGCCAGGGGCGGGAAGGAGTTTCCCGAGCCTGACGTTGGAGGGGGGGAGGAATAATTGCCTCTCTGGAGGTATGAAGACTAGGTTTTGCTTCTTCCTCCCAATTAGATTTTCCTCAAAGATATTGATGTCTGTCTTGTTCACCATTTCTCCCTGCATCTCACTGCCGTGAGAATGTCAGCCAGAGGAGGTCCAGACACAGCCCTTTGTAATCATTTCGGCTTACTTAGTCTCAGCAGAAAGTCACCACATGCTTTTTTCTGTGGGTTTCTTGCCCCTTTCTTAGATCTTGTTCGTGAGTTTAAGTGATTTGGTTCATTGTTATGGCAGCTTTTATTTGAATACCCTTAAAGCCCAACAAGGGCCCACGTCACGCTGTCGTTTTACACCATTGGGCAAGATGCGTGGTCCCCTGCAGCGTTATCAGCTGCCGGTATTTCCTTTTGCTCACTCCATGAAGATGTCCTTATGCCCTGGCTTTCCCATATTTTGCTGGTCAAGAGTGTCATCTCCCTTCCTCTATGAACCTGCCTCTTGAATCCCAAGGGAGTTCTCAATTTGGAAAAAGCCACCAGGCGTTCTGGAACTAAGTCTCACTGGAGAGATTGCTGCAAAACTCTGTTCTGACGCGGAACAGACTGTGGGGGAGGCTGTGGGGTTCCCCAGGCCGTGTGGGCGCTGCTCCTTGTCGGCGTCTGCAGGTGTGCAGGTGGCCTCGGTGCTCAGCAGATGGTTGTGCACCACAGCTGAGGGGAAGCAAGGCGATTGCTCAGCCGTTTGTTGATATGTGTACGTACTCTCATGAGACGGTGTGGTGGCACCGACCTTAGTCCCGCTGTTGCCGTGCTCATTCTCATTTATTACGCTGCAACAGTGCTTTAGAGGTACAGAATCAGCCAGCTTGGTGGTGAGGAGAGAAGGCAGTCTTTTGCCCCATTTCTTCATTTCTGGGGTGTGGACTTTCAGTGGGAAATTGCTGACCCCTAATTGATGGACTGAGTCAATGAGGGAAGATGACTTACTTCCTCTGTCTGAATGGAAAGATGCCGGAGGGCTGGCTGGGACTGGGATGTGTAACTAAGATTTGAGTTTGAAGCTATAGAAAAGTAGGTACTGCACATAATTAAATATGTGAAGAATTTGTGGGAAATTTGAAAGAAAAAAAGAAACCGAAGCCAGTATTTTAATAATTGCTTTTTCTGTTGGGCTGGGGGTTACCGTCCTAGGGGGAGCTTTTCCAACTTTCAATGAAAATCCCCAGGACCTTTCTTTGGCCATTTCTATGGAAATGTGGTGTCAGATGAATGGTAATGGTGCCGTCTGGTGGCTGCAAGACCTCATCGCAATCGCCTCCCGGAGCTTTAGTCCTCTGAGACAAGGAGCGGAAAACTGCTGACTGCTCTCTTGACTTATCGACATCTACCATGTTGCATTAATGAAAAACTACACTGTGCGAGGCCCATTCCAGGACATGGATATGACCACACCCTCTTTCACCAGGGTGTTTCTGTAGCAAGTTTTCATATTCTTTACAAATAATGGTTTCTCTGCGTTACTTGTTGGAGAGAAAAAAGAGATGGGGTAAGAAAACTACCCATGCATGATGTAGAGAGCTGTTGATTTGTTTTTGTTGGTTTTTTTTAAGGAAAACTATTTGTAAGATGTTGCACTAAAATGTTTTATATACACTTCAGAGACCTGTAGTAAATTATGTTGAAAATATGGCTGTTCACATTTACTGGAGTCCAGTGTCCTTCTTTCTCCTTACGTCATCAGCCACTCTCCTCCGGGGAACTGTGCCCTGGAGGCCTGGAGTTCTGCCCCTGGTATTGGCCTGCTGGGCTCAAGGTTCATGAGTTGCAGCCTTTATTATCATGCCCCACCCCCAGCCTAAATGGTGCCTTTGTACAAATAATAAAAAACATCCCTTACTCAAGACACTTTACTGCCATCTGCTGAAAATGTATCATAATAAATGAACACACCTACCCTGACCGTTAACACGTTGCTGCCCCTCAAATTATGTAACACACAACCCACCTGGAGGCCTGATAGGCAGCTTCAGAAGGTAGAGGTTATAACCTCTAGCTTTTTGGGGGAGGGGGGTGGGCAGGATGGGATGAGAGGAGACGGATGAAGAAGGAGAGCAGGAACATAGGACAACTTTCTCCTTGGTCTCGGCAGGAAGACCACACCATCTTTCTCAAACTATGTAGTATTGCCCCCACCCTGTGAAATATTCGGCAAGTATTTTCCAGAATGAAGGAAAAAGCAGGACCTGTGCATTCCTGTTCTGTGAGGCCGCACAACTCAAACGCTGGCATGTTTTGGAGGAGTTCACTATGCCGGCAAAGTGAGAAGAATGATAGAATAATTAAAGCCCTAGCAGTGAGACATCATTAGTCAGAACCCATCTGTAATTCCTTAAAATTCACAGAATATGCAAAGGGAACTAGATAGAGGGTAAAAAGCAGAGGGAGGTGCTCCCTTTTCTTTTGCTTCCTTTTTAAAACTCAAGCCTTTCAAAGGCTTGACTGTGTGTTTTTTTCTGCTTATCAGCCCCATTTGCTGCATTCTTCTTGCAGCTGCTGGTTTGGCCAAGGGTTGATATGACTGTTTATCCCTTGGGTACCCAGAATGGTAGCATGTTAAGTCTTATGTATTATTTTTGCCTAATTTTTTCCAAATGCTTTCTTTCTGCCAGGGAACATTCAAAAAAGGGAAATAGAGTATTATGGAATAAGATTACCCTTCTATGCCCTTGGAGCAAATCTGCCCGGTGTTTATATAAATGAAGTGAATGTCCACTTCCACATGAGGCAAGGATGATTTTCATGTATGCAGGATTAGGAGCAATGTGTTGCTCTCTCTGTGCTGGGATTCCTAAGCTTCCTGGAGGTGATTCCAAGGATGGCAAGAAGTAGACCAAGAGAGCAGAGACTGACACACCCGGAAGAGTGGCAGCCCCAGACCACATGAGCAGGCTGACTGAGCCCTTCCTTCTTATCTGCCAGTCCAGGATTCTCTACAGTGACAAGCAGATGAAAGGGGCCCTCTCAATACCGGTCACAGGATGAAAAACAGGTCCAGCTCTCCTTTTGGTGGCAAGTTCTCAGTATATGAAAGGAACCTTTCAGCCGTCTGCCTAACGCATTGCAGGTCTAGCCTTTCTGAGCCACTTTTGATTCATGAAGTCTGCTAGACCAGGCATATAAGCGTGTCTAAAAATCCCTGATGGAAGCACAGCTTTTTGTTTTTTTTTTTTGTGAGGAAGATCAGCCCTGAGCTAACATCCATTCTAATCCTCCTCTTTTTGCTGAGGAAGACCGGCTTTGAGCTAACATCTATTGCCAATCCTCCTCCTTTTTTTTTCCCCCAAAGCCCCAGTAGATAGTTGTATGTCATAGTTGCACATCCTTCTAGTTGCTGTATGTGGGACGCCGCCTCAGCATGGCCGGAGCACGGTGCGTTGGTGCGCGCCCGGGATCTGAACCTGGGCCGCCAGTAGCGGAGGGCGCGCACTTAACTGCTAAGCCACGGGGCCGGCCCCACAGCATTTTTCTTAATGAGAACGCTGCCACTGCTTGCTGGTCAGAGAAGCATCCAGGCAAGAAAGACCTAATGAACCATTCCTCACCCAATGCCTGGGGACCATGAACTGGGTGGTACTTCCCAGTCACAGGGGACTGGGCAGTCCTCTCCTCAGCCCTGCTCCGGACCGGGTTGACAGCTGCTGTCGGCCAGTCCAGACAGCAGCATGGCTGCCGATCCAAAAGTTGCATCCTGCTAGTGTGCAAAAGGTAAGAGTGGTGCTTTGGACTTGGCCTTGGTTGGACTCCCAGTTCTGCCTCTTACTGTGTGTCCTTGGGCAAGTCATTTACCTTCTCTGAGCCTAAGTTTCCTCATCTGTAAAAATTGGGACAATAAGATTAAATTAATCCAGTTAATGCACTTAACGCAGGGCCTGGCTCATAGTAAGTGCTCGACAGATATTTGCTGTTATGTCACTTCCCAGTTCAAAACTGTTCAGGGGCTCCCAGTGTCTAAAGATCTGACCCCATCCATCCTTCCTTTCCAAGTTGACCGGAGTTCCTACCAGCCCAGGGCAGAGGAGAAACTTGATTTTCTCACATTTTGCCCTACACACTGCACCTGCCTGTGTTCCCAATATCTGTAGATGACAGGGAATGTCTTAAGGTAGCGGGCTTCATGGTACAGGACATTGGTCCCAGAAATTTCACTGAGATTCCTTTTAAGATTTTATGGCCAATTTAAGAAATAATTCATGAATTCTTACAGCATGGTTCAAATGTCTTGAGTAGTCGGGGTGATGGAGATGACAGCAACAATAAAGCACATTTCCACTTGGTTTCATGCTGGTGTTTATTAGGATAGCAGGGAGTCCTGCACATTGGAAGACAGTCACGTGATAACTAAGTTTCCTTAAGCACACAGCTGGGCAGGGGCAATTCTGGTGCTTCTCTCTGAAAGAGGCAGACAGGGAGGCTGCTGTGAGTGAAGAGCTGGTTCTGGGAGCAATTTGGTCTGGGATCCCATGGATTTGTGGGAAGGGCAAGCCAATCAAGAAGACTAACCTCTAGGATGGAGAGTTCCAAGTGTCTGCTGCAGCTTGGGCAGAGAGATCTTGGGAGGCAAAAAACAGTGAGGGAGCGAACGGACTTGACTCCTCAGCCTGAGGGAAAGTCCACAGTTGAGAGGGAAGAAAAGGAAAACAGAAAGGAAACCGAGATGGGAGAAATCACAGGCTGAAAATTCCAGTTCCGGGTTGAGGGAGGGGCGGGGGAGGGTGAGGCTTAAGGAAAAGCGGGCATGCACTCGAATGAGGAAAGACAAGCGCTTGAGGGGCGCTGATTACCCCAGGTAGTCCCACACATTCTAGCAGTTGTCTAAAACGTCCCGTTTCCCGTCGTTTTAATACTCGAGGAAAGAGTGGTTCAAAGAGACTGTCTAGTCCAGGGTCCCCACGGCTGAAAAGGCACGCTCCGCGCCGCTGCGGCTGCTGGAGAGCGCTGGAGGAATACAGGGCTTCGGAGGCTCCGTGGAACAGCGCGGGAGGAACTAAGAGAAACGAGGTTTTAAAAACGCAAGCACTTTTCAAGGAGAGCCCCACCGAGCACACAGGGGGGCGGCGGGGTGACAGGAGGGACCGGGCAGGGGGACAGCCGGCGTTTGGGGAGACAGAGCACGAGGACGCGGGACCAGCGGCGTCCTGCGGAAAGAGGAAGGGCCGGGGCGGGTGCGGGGCGGGACCGGCCGCTGAGGGGCGGACG